ATGCATTAGGTTACTTTCGCCGACAAAGCGCCGTTTTATTCGACGCTTCCTGTCAAACTTGCACGCCGCTCCTCCATCTTTTGTTTACTCGTTCACTCGTTCCTTTGAACTCCTGTTGCAGCAACGCGAATCGATTTTAAATAAAACGTTCCAAGCATTTAACAGCGTATTAAGTAAACGATCGTGTTTACTCGGCAAAGAATTTCGATCGCGCAAGCTGGGGAAAGGGCGTTAGTAATAACGCAGCTAAACACCAATTTATTCGGAAAATGAACAAATAGACGAGTCTTTCTTCGAAATGTGGGACAACTAGTTCCCGAACGAAGAAACAAACCAGTACGACCTCAGCCCTAGGAAGCGCGCTAGTTCCCTTGGGTATTAACAAATGTTTCCTATACGGCTGGCGGACTATATGATTCCATATGGGGCACCGTTCTGGGATTTCTGACGATTCGTTCGCGAGAGAGTCGTAACTCGGTCGCAGAAGGGCAGCGCTGCCGAAGGGTGCGGGAAAAACCTAGGACCTCGTAAATTACAGTGGCCACGCGAAAACACTATAACAGTAATACGGTGCGTCACGATAGGCCAGGCGTGACTCATCCTCCCACACTGGAACCACCGATGGATCATAGGCCCGGAGACTCACTCGATCGATAAGCCACGAGGGGTGACTCGACTTCCTCGAACGGTGCTCGAACGGGCATATTTCCCGGGAAAAATAATGAAAGGTTGCAAAAGTGTCGGGAGTTGAGTTTAATTTTCGAAACCGATTTATACGGACGAAATGTAAATTCGGGCGAGGTGCGTTTATACGGTTAATGCAGCTGCCTCCAAGTATACAGGAACAGTCGTGTATAAATATTAATGGCAGGGAAACGAGCCGCGTGTCGTTCCGTATCGTTCCATTCGGATTAATATCGAACGATTCTCGTTAGCGTTGATTCGTTTCGGCCGGTAGGTACACGCCCGAGGTAGGCGTGTGCGTTTCAACCAGTCGCCGATAAGTGAAACTGTTCGATCGTGGACAGGCAACGAGCGTCCAGTCGAGTCTGCCGCGAAACTGGGTTACTTGCAAAATGCAAACCACGACGTGTTTGCTAATTTTCTAAATCGAACAGCTCGATCAAAATTAGCCGCAAGGTTGTGGATCGCGGGACGAATGGGAAGGGGAGGACGCGAGGGCGTTGGAAATCTTAATTCACAAAGATTGGAGACGAGGCGAGTCTGACCGGAAGTATCGTATTCGTGGCCCGCATGCGGTCGATTTATCTCGTAGGAAATCAAGGATGCCCGAGGCGTACGCGTGCCCATAAACCTATCCCGAGGTTAACGGCTAATTAAAAAATATCGAAGCTCGTATTTGTCCGTGGTGGAAAACCGTGTTATGACACACGGTGGACAGGGCGCGGAATTTATCTCGCCAGCCGTTTAAGCACCGACACATCCTGCCCACGTGTCACATCCAGCTTAAACGCTTTTCCAAATAACCTTATTCGAATTGATCGAGGCTGAAGCCACTATGGCGTCGTTTAAGGACCACCTACGGGACCTCGTAAATTTCGCGGTAATTCGAGACAATTACGTCTCTTCTATATAAATTCTATTATTTATGCCCTGCAAGGGCTGAGGCTGACGTACTTTATCCCATCCACCGGAGGGATGCTAGATATCGATCTGCTATTTCTCCACCGCATTCGTTCGCGCCGAATTCGAGATACACGCGGAGGGATAGGGAGTAATGTGGCCGCGCGTCGACGCCACCCCGTATACAAGCTCTCCCTCGACCGCGTCCACGAGACGAGGAATTCTGCGCTCGATCACGGAGGGGTGGTGGCTTTAACGGCAGCTGCGATCAACGCTCCAAGAGAAATACCCGGAAAATTCTGCTGGATACAACCGAAGTATTTCGACCGGTTCGGCAAATCCTGTCGACGGACTCTCGCACCAGATAAGACGCACGTGACTAGGCTTTTTCGGACGGTCCTTTTGTCGTATAGGAGGGAAACGGTTTTTGGGATAGCGTTGCTAATTGAATCCCCCCCCGGCGCATCCAATCGAATTACGAACACTAGCTAGCCGTGTCTATTAGCGGCGCGTAAAGTAGGGACGTTGGCCGGAGGCGCCGCGGCGACACTCGAGAAGCGGACCCGGTGAAAAAGGAACTAGCAACAAAGTGGTGAAATTGTTTAGTTTAAAGAGGGAAGAGCGACGCACGGCGAAAAATAAACACGTACACCGGGTAGCAAAAGTTTCGAGTGGTTGGCAGAGTGCTCGAGCATACACCGACCGCGTTCAATAGTACCTAACCAAGTGGTTAAAGTTCGACGAGATTCTCGCCGACGAATGAACGCGACCGTACTAGATTCGACCGTTTAAGCGGCCAGCCAACGCGAGTATACACGATCCGCGACTGATTTTACGCCCAGCTTGATAAACGGCGCTGCCCTCTTTCTTTCTCTCTCTCCTTTTCTCCACCCTGGTTTTTTGCGCTGCTCGTTCGAAACTCGAATAGCCAATCTCTCTCTACTCTCTTCTTCTTTCACCTTCTTATTTTCTCCTTACTTTTCCATGCGCGTGACAGCAAAGAGGCAAAGAATTCAGGATTTGTCCGGTGTTTTTGCCGCCGAATCTCGATTCCAGATACGTATATTCACGTGGGTGTGCATGCGCGCGCGCGTGTGTGGTCGGAGCGGTGAAAAAGAGGGTGTAGGTATCCAACGGGAGGGAAACGCGAGGTTGCCGAAAATAGATTCGCCGCGAACCGTGCGGCGACATTAGAAACACCGTGCGTATAATGCCTCTCTACCGGCCACAGTAACACAGCCTCTGCTTACGAAACAGAAAAAAGTTGAAGGTAAATACACGCGGGAACAAAGCTTCACCCGCGAGCGTCGATCTCGTAAATTACTGGAAATATTGTTGAACTTGGAATCGGAATCTCGTTTAAAATACCCGCGATCAGAGGGAACGCAAACCCCCGGTGAAGTTTGTTTTCGTATCAGCTCGCTTACAGAGACGCGTGTTTTCATTGATCCGGAAAGCGAAAGAGGAAAAACGTTGGAGAGAAAAATTAATAGAAAGGAACGAGTGACGCAGAGGACGAGCAGGATCGTTGGAACAATCCATCAAACTGAACGAACCTATTGGAGCGACGAGTTTGTGTCCTTTCAGGAAACGGTGACTCCACCCTCGATGAACACGCTTATAGCATTTCCAGTCCCCCTACGCTCGCGTAATCGTCTGTACGATGATACGCCAGAAACTCACCCCGCGTTTATTCCACCAAGCCAAACTCGGTTCCGTCCCCTTCCTATTCCAAGTCAACCAGAGAGACAGGGACACGCAGCGGAGCGGAACGCATGCGTTTCCAGCCTCCCCAAGTTGCCGTTGCGCGTGTACTTTGCCACGCGGTAATACGCACCGTGTGTGTTTGTACGCAAACCGTAATATCATTCACGTTTTACTCGATACATCCGAGAAGCTGATAAAACTCGGATGAAATATGAAATTATAAATGGCCGGGAATAAAGGAGAGGGCGAGAGAAGGGAAGGGTAGCAATTACGATGGAAATGGGGCTTCGAGGCAGCTCCGAGAGAATTTTGCTTCGCGTCATTTGCACGAATGCATCACGGTGCATCTCCGTGCACCACGCTTTCACGCGCGTTAAAATGCATTAGGAGGAGAGAGAGAGGGGGAGTCGTTAGGCGAGCGCGTGTGCGTGCTGAACTGCGTGTCCTCGGGGCCGGGTTAAACGGACGTGTGCCACACGAGGAGGGTGCGCGAGTGGGGGCAACTACACGCGTGTCTTCGGTTTTGGTTTTAGTTCCGTGGCAGTCTCTGCCGTCGACGACGATCTACGAACGTTTCGCCGGGCCTCGACGATTCCGAAGAACGGCCACGATCGGCCACCAGCCAACCGTCTTTTCCCCTTTTCTCTTCCCCTCTCTTCTACGTTTCCAACTCTTCTCGTCCTTCCTTTTTATCCTCGCCGCGTTATTCGCGTTGTTCACGTTCCGAAAGTGCTTCCGCCGCCGCTATTCGACTCGAACAGGAGTGCAGTATCCAATTCCCCCAACGATATCGTTAGCATATCGAACGAGATCGCTTCGAAGATGATAGAAATGCAACGAGAAGATTGAGAAGGGGAACGCGATCGAGCCACCTGATCGCAGATCTAATTTAAACCGGGCAACGCGGGAAAAGAAGCGGCCGCCCAAGAATAACAGACGCGGAGAGCAAAGGCAAAGACACGCGGGACAGGAGGAGAAAAAGGAAAGGTTGGAGTGGTTTTGAACGGCAGATCAAAGTTGAAATTGTTCGGGGGCGTTTGGAAGGAACGACGGGAGAAGGAACAAGACACGATCTTCTTCTCGCGACAAAAATTCTGACAAAGCGAGGGGAATTTCTAAAGGATAGCGGCTGAGAGGAGAAGAATTTGTGAAAAGCAGCCGAGGCACGGACGGATTCGAGTGTCGGTGAAATGCGAAAAAACGTCGGCTCGTTTTGTTTCGCCGAGAGATTTCGTTTCGGCGCAACGTGCTCCGACTACATGTATAATAACAAGCGCGTGTGACCGCAGCGCCTAGCGTCGATCAGAGAAAAAAACAAGAGCGACAGGAGAGGATGTTCGCGTGACGGCTTGGACCGACTTTCTCACAAAGGACGACAGAACTTCGAAGAGCTTCGAAACTTTCTAGCTTCGCCGATAGAAATACCGTTGTACCGTTTAGATTTCGAACGCGAGAGACCCCGAGAGAAGGATCGATCGTCGCAACGTAAGCGAGGTATCGAGAATGTGTCTCGTGTTGTCGGTCCGCGGCCGATCTGTCGAGAGTGTAGTGACGTCGAGTAATCGCGACTTAAAATATTGCTGGAGAAATTGTCGTTGATCGCGTTGCTATCGAGGGAACGGCGCGGAAACTGCTGGATCGCGCGCACGCGATCGAATGTCTCTACGGTGTCGATCGGACGTGACAGTGATTCGCGCGCCAATTCGAACACCTGATTCTCGGCTGCCGGTTCGAGATGCGGTGCACGTTAGGCCACGTGTTTCTGACAAGTTTGCTACTACTACTTCGACCACCTCGAGCAGACGCGGCTATCGTCGAATCGTCTTTATCGCAGGACAAAGGTACGTTTGCGCTTCGCCTTTAAACGCGAGACCACCGTAAAATCTGCGAGAAGACTTGCGAGGAAGATGTAAATTTTCTACTCTCGGTGTTATTCTTGGTAAAAGGTACAAGGGAAATTGATCACGCGTGCTCTCGGTGACCCGTTAAGAGGAAAGTGGCACTGCAAAGCGGTTGGAAATTTATTTCGAACGAAACGAGCGCGTTGACCTCGGCCCGATTTGAAATAAGTTAGAAGTTAGGTGGCACGGGCCTATCGACAGCAACCGGAAGGATTCAAATAAACCCGCACGCCCGCATTAGAACCGCCAGCAATTCCAACCGCATACGTTTCCTAGGAAATAAAGAGATACTCCTTAACGACGTCTTATTTCCTGTTTTTCTCCTCGGTTCCCATTCTGGTTATCAGTCTTCACTTGCCGGAACACGAGATGCTTCGCTGGACGTCGAGCAACGAAAGATATATGGTCTTTCGCTATGATACAGTATCGAGCATTATGCTTTTAAGGAAGACTCGTTGTTTATTTGGGGGGGCAGCGAAAATTACGTAGCTGGACGGAAATAGGCATTTGGTCCGCGATACTTAAATTCTTATTGGTCCGAGTTATTTTTTGGTAGCACGTTTGGTAGCACGTTTAATACTTCAAATTAGTGAAAAACAGTAACCCGGTTTTCGGCCGCAAAGAGTTCATCTAACAAAGGTTAGACGGTTCTTAGATTCTTCGTTTGCACGGGACGGGGTCCATCAAAGACGTAACGGGAGCAGACGTATCGATCTCGCGGTAATTTGTAAGAAAAACTAGGAAGCGACCGGGCAGTTTCACCGGCAGATATATTCGTCACGCTTGCTTCCGAAGCGAAAGAATTCGCGCGACTTATTTTTGGCGGCGTGAAAAGGCGCCGCTTCGTTTTGATCCCTCCCTCCATCTGGCACGTGCAGCTACCTCCTCCTCGTCACGCGGTTAATTTGGAAAATTGACGAAAAGATGACGCGGTGCACGGTGTGAAATGGCGGAGATGTCTCCAAGTGCACCTCGCGCGAAAAGGAATGCGCTTCGCGCTTTCTCGGGCGTCGTTTATAGCTTTTAACCGGGCACAGACGGTCGAAGAGAGGACTCAAAGTTCGAAGGAATTCGGGGAGGACCTTTCGGCGCGCTTTAGATTCCGACCTCAGTCTAAAATATATATTGTCCTTGTTGCGAATAATAGATCCACCGACGATTCCTTCGCTCGAACGAAAATATTTGGAAAGGAGCGGGTAAATAGAGGAGGGAGAGAGAGAGCCCCCATCGCGATCCATCATCGCTCCTGTAGGTATCGCCCGCGATCTTTACATGTTTGCTTTACGGTTAACCGTCAGCTTGTAGGAGCCGCGGCGAAAGCAACACTTTCCGCAAAACTCAGGCGCTAATTGCGTTACAAATTTACACCCAGTGGAATTTTAGCGGGGTCGAAAATTCGTGGCACGATTCACGGGGCGCGCGAAAGTTCAAAGAGTGTGGCGAGGCAGAAAGGAATCAGTTTGGACGTGAAAATTTTGCGAGGCGCGGCAAAGAGCCGGGCTGCAGCGCGGGCCAAGTTTGAATAACAAAATAGACGAGCCACAGGGGTGCAGCCTCGATGAAATTACCATAGAGAGTGATCAAACGGAGAGACCTTTATTTCTCCGAGCACCCTTTGAACGGGGCGGCCGACCACCTCGGAAAACCAAAGTTCGATCTTACGCATACTTGCTGCGTCTGTCTACGCAGGCACGGAAGGATGGGAGGAGTCGGTTTAAATAATTACAGACCTTCCAATGAAATATCTCGATTTCGCCATCGGAGGGACCTCCAACGCGGCAATCTCCGGCGGACCCTCCTCCTCCGCCGCTGTCATTTTTCTCCAGGTAGAAACCTATCGTCGTTCATATTTCACGGTGGTAATCGATATGCCGTCGACGCGATTTACGAGAACCTCTTCTTCCGCGTAATAATACAATTTCGTAGGTTTAATCGGGCACGCGTGCGTAGATTTTCAGTGAGCTCGCAAGTAAGGGAACACCGAGCGTCGAGTCGAAGGAGAGAGTAGGTGCTGACAGTTGGAATTTTATTGGAAAACCGAACTTCTTCTGGGCAGGAGAGCAACAGGTGTTGGCAAGAGGAAACAGAAGTAGGTAGGCGAGAATGAAATTGACCGAGGGTAGATTAAACCCGGATAACACGCACGACCACTGCGAATGTAATAAAAAATAATATTCCGGGGTTCGCGTGCGAACGATAGAACACCCGCGAAGGCACGTCACTTTATGAATGAACGTGTCTGACAAAACGACGGAATGCCGTATCGTCGAACAAGACAGGCATACGTTCGAGGAAGGAGACAAAGAGCAGGAAATTGCACGGTATCGGGCGCCGGGCGACCAACATCGCCAGGCTGACGTGGATAGGCGCCGATAAAAACTCGTAAATTAATTCCACGTTGCGTGGAGCCTTGGGAGCGACGCCACGGAACCTCGTGGCGGCGTCGCTTACTCATATTTCCATGTTATTCCGTTCGTCATATTCCCGGCTCGTAAATTACGGTAACGGCCGTTTTTAGACGCTCGTGGATTCGATTCGCGAAAGATGGATCGGGAAAAAAGGCAGGGCTGAAAGAAAGGGATACGAGGGAAAGGAGGATCACGAAAATAGACGAGTCGACGGAAGCGCGCAATACAAAAATAACAGAGTTACCCCACGATCGACCATTATTTACATAACCTAACCACCGAACGTACAGATTTTTTTTCCACGAATCTTCACCGATTTCCCTCGACTATCGGAATTCTATTCCGAGATACGAGTCGAAACGACTGTTTGGAGAAGGACCTGGATCGAGTTCACGCCCCGCCGACCAAAATTCGGGGTACAAATGCTGCTCCGTGTACGTTCTTGAAAAGCACAATACGCGATCAGACCGAAGCAGAATTTCGCTCGTGTATTGTCTGGAGAAACAAACGTGCTCTCGAAAGCGCATCGAACTTTGCCAGGTTTCGCTCGAACGTCGAAATCTGGTTAGCCGCTTGGTAATTCGCGAAGAATTACGCAACATCGAACTCGCGTTTACGTGCGGCTGGCTTGCGAACAGATTGGAGCGCGCGGCCGCGACGAAACGCTCTGTCGAGAAGACAAACTAGCTTGGGTCGTTCGCCTTTCAGCGGCGCGTTACGCCGCGCGAACACGAAAAAGCTGTACCGGATGGAAAATCGAAAACGTCCACGCCGGGGACGCGTAGAACGTGTGACGTGTGCACCGTGGACCGCTTATCGCGGATTCGTTACAAAGTCCCCACCCACGGAGGAAATAGAACCGCGGTATGCCATTGATAACTCGGTCGTTCTCGCTATTTCGCCTTTCGCGAACAATCGAATCTCCGATTACGCGAGAAACGGCCCTTAACCAGCGGTATTTGCCTTTTACGCTCGAGCGAGAAATTCTCTTAAATTCTATTTCGAATAAGAACGTACTCACGGACGCATATAGCGGCTCGTTTCCCGGAATAGGCGGAAACAACGAGTCCGAGGCGTAACGAGCGCAATAGCGAGCCAAAAACGTCGCACGCACGCGGTGCGTGCATTGTGCTCTCACACGAGCGGTATGCCGCACCACTTTCTTCACCGTTACGTGTCACCGACAATAAGGGCTGCTACTTTCGTTGCTCCGCGAACCTCTCGTCGGCTTCCCACCCACCCACCTAACGCTAACGTCTTAACAACGATGCCTATCCTCTTCTGCGCAATTCTTTTCAAGGGCCTACTACGACTTACGCTCTTACAGCGCCGCTCAAGCTGGTGTGGGCCAGCGAGGGCGAGGACGTTGAATTACCATGCGACATCACTCCGCCGACCCCAACCGACTCTGTGAATATGGTACTCTGGTTCAAGGATTCTGCTGGGATACCGCTCTACAGGTAACGCATCCTTCCTTTCTTCCATTTTTTTCTATTTCAGTTCTGTTCTCTTTTCCGTCTTCTCGTAAAGAAACGTAAGAAGAAGAATCGCGAGCTCGTTTCATCGTCCATTTCGCAAAGTGGACTTCCTGTTTACGCAATTTACGAGGGAGCATCTACCTTCGTGCCGTTACCACTGCGGCTGCTTGTTGGCTACGCTTTAATATTCGTAGATGCCGTTGTTCTGAGATCGCATCTCGAAATATCTTAAGCCGAGCCTGTGGAACAGGGTTGCTCTGTATCACCACTGAAAGCAGCCTACCTCCTTGTCTTCTATTGTGCAGCTTAGCCACTTTGCGGTCCCTCTCACTTGGCCGGTCTATTAGTTGAAATTATCGCGCGTTTCCGTACCTCTCGTGCCGTCCGTCGTTCGGGGCGAAAGTAGAATTGAGGTAGATCGTGTCACGTAAATAAACCGAGAGACCGTCGTGGATTGGCATCGACGGGCGGAATTTCTTAATACCGACCATCTTCCCAGAATAGATCGGTTCATCGTTATCTCTCGCTGACAAATACACGTAAACATTGCATTTCCAGTGGTTTATTTACGAACCGGGAGTTGTAGGTTTACTCGCGAAGGGAACGGGACATTCCTGGCACGGCGGTGACCAGCCGTGAATCACGTTCCGTTACGAAATACATATGTAGAAAGGATTTTCCTGGAAAAGGATGAAACACGTGGGCTCGAGAAGCCTTCTGCGGCGGCCGACTCTGTTCCGCGTCAAAGGGTGATCGTAAAAAAATACACGCGAGGCAAACGCAAAGCAGGTGGCTTCGATGTTTTTACGGGCTTGGTTATTCGCGCCCAAAGCGTTCCCTTCGACGCGACCTTTTTGAGAAAAAATGGAAATCGTGGAAGAGAGGCGGAATCGTTTCTGTCCGTGGCGTTTATAACTGGCGCCGCAATTTGGAGGAAATCGACTGCGAGTAGGTTCTTTTCCCGTCGTGTTGCCGCTAGGATTTCCTCCCCGGCATTGCGTAACGGTCAACCGTTCGCGGTGAATCTAAATTCGCTGACTGCACGCTTGCCAACTATCCTTTTTTTCACCACGAATAGACGCGCGCGTGCTAGAGTTAGTCACTGAAATACTGAACAGCGGGGGGGTGCACCGGTGTTTACCAGCCCGTTTCCCCTCCCGGAAACGTCAGCCCGTTCGATCGTTGACTCGTCGTCGATCGAGCCAAGAATCCGAGCGTGCGGATCGGCAGGACGCGTAACCGGGTAACCCCCAAAGTAGCGACTTTGCTCTTGAAAACACCAGGGAAAAGAAAGAAAAATGGAAACGTTGCTTCTGTTCGTGTGCAGCTTGGACGCGAGGAGCGGAGATCTCGCCTCCGCCATTCACTGGGCGGTCAGCGACGATCTCGGTAAGAGGACCTACTTTCAGATCGGCGACGGCCACCGAGCTAAATTGAAAGTCACCAAAGTTACCTACAAGGACCAGGGGATCTTCAGGTGCAGGGTAGATTTCATCGATTCCCCAACCAGAAATTTCCGCGTGAATCTCACACTGGTCGGTGAGTACCTCTTCGCCAGATTACAATTTACCGTTGGATCGAAGCAAGTCTGCATCGTTTTATCTGTACCCAGAGGAACCCTCGAAGCCTGTGATATACGACGCTCAAGGACGAGAAGTGACGGGAGTCGGAGGTCCTTTCTTGGAAGGTTACAATCTCGCCCTTACCTGTCAGGTGGCTGGGGGTAAATTTCTCTCCCTCTTCGTGTCACGAAAACTAATCGAGATTTTCGCTGTTCCTCTAATTGTACCGTTGCTCATCCCAGGAAGACCGAAGCCTACGGTGACGTGGTGGAAGGACGGCAAGATATTGGACGGAGTGGTCGACACCATCTCCGTTGGTTCTCCGAGTAAATTCACGGTGAACCACCTGTTCATCGACAAGGTGACCAGGTCCATATGGGGCACGAAACTCGAGTGCAGAGCACAGTCGCCACCGATGTTGGCTCCGATCGTCCGTGAAGTACCTCTGGATATTTACCGTGAGTGTAACCTCGTTTGCTTCGTTCTAACGAAACGTTTCGAAGAATCCGATCGAGAGTGCCGCGTGAACGTAACATCTGGTGAGAACAAAATGGAACGAACGTGCGCGCTCCCCAAGGTCGTTTCTTTTAAATCTTAACGCGTGCTAAAAGCGACCGCGAACTACTTAAAGGGCGTTCGTTCGTGTGCATCTTTACCTGGCCTGTGGATAACTTGGAAAATGTCTCGATAAATCTTACGTACAGTCCTGTTCGTATTTTTCAAGGGTTGTCCCTTACTTCCGACACCGACAAAAGCGCCGGACATCCTGCGAGGCAAGAAATATCGCTCTTATTCATCCGAATGTCCTGCAACCTCGGCCGACGTAGACGAAGAAAGAAATTTAAATATAGTTCGAAGCGAGTGACCCGCGGCGGAAGCGAGATGAATTCCAACGATTCGCGCGCGGACCTCCTTAACTCCTTTGACGGTCGCATTTCGTGGAATTGTCGTTGAAAGTAAAAATACGCAGTTCGGGTGGCGAGCATGTGGCTCCCTCGACCCGTTATTTTCGCCACGCTGCGAGTCCAGCTGTCGGGCTCGGGTCCTCCTAGCAATTTTTTGCGCCAGCCTACGAGGAGGAATGCGGAGAGAGCAAAGCGTAATCGGTGGCGTTTCTCTATAGTGAAACCGGCGATCGTAAAGATCATCCTGAGCGAGGATCAGATTTTCGCCGGTCGTCCGATTGCGGCTCGTTGCGAAACTTGGGGAAGTTCTCCAGCGGCGAGGATCATCTGGAGATTAGGGGGACAGGTGATAGGCGACCCGAATGTGTCCACCACGCAGAGAAGCAATTCCACGGTCAGCAAGCTGGCTCTGGCACTCGGAAAGGACGACGACGGCAAGGAATTAACCTGTAGAGCCGAAAATCCCAGATTTCCCGGCGGAGTCCTCGAGCAAACTAAAATTCTCAACGTTGCCTGTGAGTCTTTTGTTTCTTAATTCTTCCTCCCCTGCTGTATCGTACGCAACCATCTCCTCGAGTATATACACTTGGATTTCCGCGTCCAGATCCCCCAGCCGTCTCTGTCGAACTAGCTAAAGGTCACGTCCTCGATACCCTCCGTGAGGGTGACGATTTGAGGCTGGTATGCAACGTGGAGAGCAACCCTCCTCCGACCAGGGTCGTTTGGTATCACAAGGTGAGGGAAACAGCTTTAACCTCGATTTTCTCCGGGAGATGTACTACCAAGCACGTGACGTTTCAGGACAATCGATTAAAGCACGACGTGGCCGAGGGAACTCTGGTAGCTTCGAATACACTGACGCTGAGGGTGCTCACTCTGGCTCACACCGGCGAGTATTCGTGCGAGGCGATCAATTCCGTGGGAGAAGGTCGCAGCCCTCCGATCTACATTCGCATGAAATGTAAGTGTCTTCTATGTGGTTCCGGCGGCTGCGTCCGCTAACGTAAATCATTGTCTGCGGACAGATGTACCCAGGTGCAAGGCGGGGCACGAGAGACGCCAAGTCACCGTTGGTCGTCACAAGACGGTGTCGTTGCGCTGCGAGGTGGACGCGGTGCCGAAAGACGTGGTGAGATTCTCGTGGATGTACAACGGGACGCTGGGCGACGTGTTGCCGATTCCAAACTCCAGAGCTGAGAATAACGGGCTCGTTAGCGTTCTCGAGTACACTCCTACCGCTGACACCGACTTTGGAACTCTGGCTTGCTGGGCGAGCAACAACGTCGGCAGACAAAGGACGCCCTGTATATTCCACATCGTGCCCGGAAGTATGCGTCCTTGGAAATTGATAACTAGAACGAATTCCGCGCAAGAGCAGCTTTCGAAAGTTTGACGCGTGCGTCGCGACTTGCCAATTTCCAACTTTGCCTCTTCTTTCTCTCGACCACCCACTTGAAAGTTGCATTATCGACGCAAAGTTGGCGTTATCGACCGCCAAGTCGCGGGTTCATCCTTCAAGTGGGTCGTCTCATAAACTAGACGATCTTTCTGAGCGAGCAAACGCGCACGATTCGCAGAGCCACCGCAGCCGCCGTTCGACTGTTCCCTCCGCAACGAGAGCACCGCGCTGGAAGTGAATTGTGTCCCGGGCGCAGACGGCGGTTCTCCGCAATACTTTTTGCTGGAAGTTCGAGCCGCCACGAAGAGCCCGGCCGTCGTTCAGGTGCATTCGCCCACTCTCCACGCCCCCCAGAGCGATCAAGGAACGGTCGGAGAAGTGCCGACCGTGTATCAAGAGAGAAATCCAAGGCCGAATTTCCAGCTGCACGGCCTCGAGCCAGGCTTCGATTACACTTTGTACGTGTACGCGGTGAACGGTCAAGGAAGAAGCCAGCCGGCGCTGTTGGAGCACGTCAGGGTCGCCGAGTCTATCGGTGGAAAGATCGAGAGGAACGGTCTCTTTCTGGAGGACCTGAAAAAGGCGCTACCCAAGGCTAGCTCGGAGAACATGATCGTCGTGATCGCCTTGACAGGTACAGGTAAACGAAACTACCTCTCTCCTTTTTCTCTGCCTCGAGTAAACAGAGGCGTCGACACGAGTAAGAACGAAGGAGATTTTCGATTGAAGGTGCGGTGGCTTTGATCCTGATCGGTATCGGAGTGATCATCGGGCTGGCTATCTGCAGGAGGAGGACCACCTCGCCTGTCAAAGACGGTCCGGACGATTTTACCACCCCCACCTACGTTTCCGCTCAAAGGGTAGAGCCAAGGATCAGATACTCGTCCGATACCAGACGTTCTCAGAGAGCCAGCTTGTACATGGAGGAAAATCGAAACGGTAAACCACGGTGTACCGAGAGACGGTACATATGTATACGTTTAAGTAACCGATTTGAACCGTCAACCGGACGGTTGAATCGGTGAAAATGATTTTAGCCAATCGAGTCGTTTGATTTTTCAGAGCCGGATATTCTTCAGAGAGTCGAGATCGATCTACACGACTAACGGTCCGAACGGTGCCGCCTTATTTTGTACAGATAGAAGTAATTCGATCGTCGCGACGTCCTGTGTAGATATAAAGCCAGGCTGAAGTGCCTACTCTCTTAGCACGTAAGACGCTAGCCCGATAAGCCTTAGGAAAGTAAGAACCCATGGCGAACCTCATCCGGTGATCTTACGCTGTTTTCCAGAATTCCTGTACCTGTACTTACACCTGATTCGTAGTGCGTTATTTATCGCATCTCGCAATTCTGCATCTTTCGTGCCATTTCTTTTTTTACATGTAAGCGAGAGCAACAGGCAAAGTATTATAGATCGAGCACCGTCTGCTTGTCTCCTCGTGATCGACTATTGTGTACAGATACTTTTATACCGAGGTCTCGTAAGAACAGAAAGTCCAATTACTACTTTCCACTGAACGCGTTTCTCGAAAGAAACGTCTTGCGTTGATAATTCATTCTCGAGGAACCAAAAACGCTTATGTAATTGTGTAAATAGCACGGAGAAGTACCGGGTTGTATTACTAGCGATTAAACGGCCAAATAAATTTTTACCCGACGTCAAGCGCGCATGTCCGTTTGACGTGTACACGAGAAGAAATTGTTTCTAAATGAAAACGCAAAAACCCTTTTCGATGCCAGATGTTTCACGCTGTCGAGCTGTTTGATAAGAAAACAGCGATTCGACCGTCGACGTGATTGCTGATATTGCTGACAAACGTAACGTGTCCGATGCTTCGACGGAAGCCTCTATCAACAATTTGTGTAACTTTCACTCGCGATCGTCCGGGATTGTCGTTTCACCAAGTTTCACCGAGATAAATAACAAACGACGAGAACCGTCAAAACATCCGATATCCGTAAATTACACGACACATCCTGCGAGCAGGGCGGGGTATCGAAAAAAGTGCGGTGATCGAAAATAAACCATGTTGTTCGGCGTGTTACGCGTCGGCTTCTCTAATAAAGACTCGGCTTTTCAATCGAACTCTCCCGATCTAGCCGAAGGCGTTCGCGCATCTACGTACCTCTACGCGATCGGCACAGCGTTCGAACGTAGTCGATCTGAATTTTCGCGAAAGTACAGTACGTAAATATAAGGAATTCGTCACGAGGAAAAATTGGAGGAGAGACGTGGTAAATTGGAAAGGCGTGTTTGAATCGTGGATTAGCGAGCATTATCCGGTAAACGGCTCTTTTTGACGAAGAACGCGACAGGAGGATCCATCCGATCCCTGTTTATTCATTATTTACGCGCAATCTTGCATAAATATAGGGCGCAGTAATTGCAACCGGTATTACCTGCCAATATGCACACGAGTGCGTGTGTACGTGAAGCGTGGGAGGGGCGGAAAATTTACAAATTATAATGTACGCAAATACATGCTCGATCCCAATTACAGCTAGCAACATGTAGATATACTGCAATTTATATTGAGCATTACGATACGTAATTATAAGCGCGTCGCTGATTTATATGTAAATGTATCGTTATCGGGTCAGACGAGGCGACGCGGCGCGGGCGCAGGTCGGGGAAGGTTGAAACAAAAAAAGGGAGGAAAAAATAAAAGCTGATCGCGTGGATTGTCTCGATAGGAATGGGGGGCTGCTTTGCATTCATCGCCGTTGGCGAGGCGGGACGTGAACGCGCTTGATTAGCCGAAACTTCATCAACGTCGCGATAATCGTGTCGTCGATTGCGACAGATATTCTATTTTCGCTGAATTAGTTGGCGCCGCGCGCGACAACCAATTACCTGGAAAAATTCAATTAGCATTGCCGACATTTCCATCGACCGTTTTACAGATTTGCCCGAGCGTGTGCTAACACGCGACCATCAAATTTCCCCTCTAGTCCGTCACGTTTCATCGCGTTCCGGAAAATTCATCACCGCGTTCGATTCGCAGTGGTTTCGCAAAGGTCGGAACAGATTATCGCGCCGGTACGATCGCGCTCGCTTCGAAGATGGAATAAAGAATCTTATTACGTACTACAAGAAGATCCGACGGTTCGCGCATCTTCGCGATCTCAATCGAATTTTCCACGAAATGAGCCACGGTCCTTTACTTGGAGCTCGTTGCATCCCCTAACAAGTATCGGAATAGTATGAAAATCTATCGGAGCGGATCCAGGATGTTGGTATGCGGCGTGGATTCGCCACTCCGTTCAAGTCAGTTGCGTATTACAGAAGCGTACAGCCCAGAGGAACCGGCGTGTCGGATGATAAGATAATTACGTTGTATAATACTTTGCACGGCGGCAAGCACGGTATTATCGTTATCGTCATGGGAAACGCCGCGGGGTATTCCTGTTATTTTCAACCAACCTGCCACCCCGCCGCTCTGTATACGCCCGCTAAATCTGACCTGTCTCGCGCTGTATTTTTCAATTTTTTCCTTCTCGCCATTTTATCTTCGATATCTCTTCCATTTATATTCCGCGTAATTTCGCAATTATCGCGGAGCAAGTGAAACCGACGATCGACGAGAGAAACGTGCTGAAAAGCAGGTCCTCCTGTGGCCGACAGAGGGGACAAGGGCGAAACTCGTCGGCGGAACGATATTTCGTGTCCCCCAACTTTGCCGGCTTACTTTCCTCGTAATTGTCCTTAAAGTTGAATGAATTTAATTAAAGAAAGGAGAGTTGCTCTGG